AAAGGGCACCACTCACATCTTGCTCAGCGTTGAATTCCCATGGCCCCAAAGAGTGCTGGCTGAATAACAGGTGTTCCACAAATGTTTGCCGAATGACTGAGTGAGCATGAAGACTTACGGAAATGAAAAGGGTAAAGCAAACATAGTAATTACTCGTATCACTTTTCTCCTTTTGTACATGTGTTGGCTGATAATGGTGAAGGCTTACTACGGAACTTGCTATATGCTTAGCAGAAAGGAGGCAGGTAAGAGAGAGGACAGACATTGCCCTATTGTCAGCGAAATACTCTCTGTTCTTTATTATATGATTCTGAAACTATACTAGGAAGTGCACTCACAAGGGGGCCGCTGGGACAGACCTCATCCGTCTGTCTCTCTCAGGCTGATGTGATTGTGTGGTTCCCTCATGTTCTCCAGACACTGTGAGGTTCTGCCCCCCACCCCCCCAACATGGCAGGGCAGCCAAGACAGCAGGGCAGAAAGATGGGGGAGCTCAGCTGAAGGGCAGTGAGAGGCCCCATATCCAACCGCGGGGAGTGGGGGGAGGTGGGAAACCTGACTTCGCTGAAATGATTCACTCAGGAGGACTGAGTGCATTGCTTCCATTACCAAGGTTACTGGAAAAGCAAGTTCACATCTCAATTTACTAATAAGCACTCTACTTAAGAAACCCAGGGTTTAGTTTCAATAATATGGGCAAAAAAACGGAGTAGAAAACCATCGCCTTCTGCTTGGAAACTAGAAAAACTCCTCTCAAGAGATGCAGGTTTATCCTTTAATCAGAAGGAGAGGGAACCGCTGGCTGATGCCCCAGGTGGGGGAAATGGGAAGAGAGAGGGATGGGGGAATGCCCATTTCTACGGAGTCGGGAAGGACAGCCATCCACCCTAAGGAAGAGGTGGGAAAGCACCGTTTCCTGTTCTGTTCCTTTAGGAGCTGTAACAGTAACTTAAAGATTTTTATGTTTTTGTTTGCTCGTTTTTTATGCGGGAAAGACAGGTATTTTAAATGTCGTGATAAAGGTAATCAGAGCTATTTTTAAGAACACGGTTTCTGCAAAGCGAGGTTGCCATGGAGTTACCTAGGGTTGTTCAAAGCCAGGGTAATGACTGAGAGAAAATCCTGCCTGGCAGGTGCTTTCACGTTTCCTCATTTCCTGCATTGCTTACTCAAAAACATCCCCACCTTTTGTTGTCAGTTGTTTTTTTTTTTAATCCCTTTACTTATGATCTTCATGTTCATGGGCACTCAGTGTTTTCCTTAGCAAGAGGAAAATGATTCCCTCTAGTGCAGCGGGAGTCAGGAGTTTCTCCTTACAGGTAATCATTAAGGGAAATGTTTTATTTTAGTGTTCCTCTTTTTCATGTCATGGGAATCATGGATAAGCCAGCCGCTCATTTACTTTTTATTTCTTACTACTCTGAGGAAAAACAGCCTCAACTTGTGTTGGATGGTGCTGGGGGAGTTTCTTCACATCGAGTGAGAAACCTTGCCATTCACTTGACACGGCCTGGCATTTCCAAAGGCAGCTGGGACTGTCACAGAAATTTCCAAGTGCTCGCTGAAAAATATTTTATCAGAGGAGCTAAGAGAGGTATGGTCTCTGTTCAGGTTTTTCTCGTGTGTTTCTGTAATTTTACATTGCTTTGGGGGTTCTTAATAAAAATACAAAAGGCTTGGCATATTTAAAAATACAGAATACCAGACTGCTCCCTCTTCGATTTCTGTATCCTCATGCTGAAAGTCATTAAGTGGGCTTCTCTGTTTTGGGTGTTCCTGGCTGATGATGGCCCTCAACAAAGACAAGTTCCAAGTGTTTATGAAGAATGCCAGGGGCTGGTGGCAGCTGAAGCTGGAAACACTGGGAACTTGAAAGGAGTGAAGGTGACTTTCTCAGAGGCATGAATAAAGCCAAAGCTTTAAGAAGGAATGGTAGCATATAACAAATCTTGCTGCTGCCACGCCAGGGTAGCAGCTCCTGAGATGAAGGGAAGTATGTCCTCTTCATCCCACCTTCCCAAGTGAAGCATGGACCCAGAGAATGAAGCTCACAAGGGGCTAAATAACATTAGCCCAACTGTAGGGTTACCTATAAGTGGGCCAACAGGCTTGCATGGGATGACGGATAACCTAACCATCACTGATAATTTTCCTCATATAAGATCACATATGGTGTGTTGGAATCAGCCAACCTTATAGTTTGGGGACTGCCTGCAGTCTTCAGAAAATTCTAGTCTCTTTTAAGATGCCAAGTGACTTAGATACCACCGAGGAGCAGTGTCTTTGCTAGTTCGTTAGATTTTAGGAAATTATAAGAAAGGCTCAATTGTAAGATTACAGAATAAAACTATAATTGTTATCTTCCTCTCGGTTAGTTAAAAAGAACTGTCAAATGAGAAGGTAGGAAGAAGCCACAAAAATATAAGGACATTAAGGAAATCAGAAATGGCATTTGAAGTTCTCTGACTGTGACCCAACACAGGGATCGCTGGAGGAGGGATGGCAGTGGGCACCCAGAGGGGTGCACAGAATGTGCCCAATTCTCCTCAGACCACCCTCCAACCACCCCCACACCTGCCAAGAACCTCTTTATTTTCTTCCTCACCAATTTCAAAATGCTCTGTTCAGGAAGTGTGAGAAAAATCACATTTGCTTTCAGAAAATAAATTTTCTGAAATTTTCATGGGCTAATTTCAATTTTGTGTTTTCAGTGGGATAATGTGCTCAGTGATTTGAAAGAGCATGTGGTGGATTTGTGCCCACTTTGGGGGCATAACTGCTACCAGCTCTTGGCACTCTTCCTGGAGATAGCTGGTCAGAACCACAGCCCAGGCTGGGGGTTCATTCCACACCTCTGGCTTAAAGTCTGCTTCGGAAATAAATTTTAAAAATAAACAATCTGTGTTCTAGTATGTAAAATGCAATTTCAGGCTGACTGGCTAAAACCAGGCCATTATCCTCCCTCTTGATTATCCGCCGACACATGCACTTTCGCATCTATGCCCTGTGCACAGTATTGAATGAAACATAACTGCAGACAAGAAACGTGACAAATTTAATAATATTTTTTTAAAAAACAGTTAAAGTCTTTAAGGAGGGTTAAGGATATTGTGTTCATGTGCAGGCATTTTGTGATTTTCCACTCAAAATTTAAAAGCAAAGGAAGCTCTCAGATGAGATCAATTTAGTGGCTTGGAAGATCAAGTAGAACAATTATTTCAAAGCACAGAAGAAAAACAGAGAGACGGCAATCATAAGGGAAAAGGTAAGAGAAAAAAAGGAGCAGATGGAAAAGTAATCATTGAACAAATAATCAATGAAAATTTCCCTGACAATATCTCAGTCTGCAAACTGAAAAGACTCCCCAGTTAGGGTAGTTCTGATGAGAAAAGACATACAAAGTAAATCCTGGTAAGGTTTCTGAACTCCCAGGATATGTAGAAAGTTTTAAAAGCTTCCTCAAACCAGAAAACCTACCAACCAACCAACCACCAAAGAAAAGATTACATTCAAATGAAAAAAAAAATGATATTGGCATCAGACTTGTCCTCTGCAATGTTGGAGAAGAGAGAGAAATAACATCTGTAAGTGACTGAAATAAATAAATAAATGGAAACCCTTGAACAAGAAGAGACACGCTACAAGGAAATCATAGTCATCATAGCTGAGAACAAAATCACGGAACTGCAGCAGAGGACCAGATGCTGGGGAGAGGGAAAGGGGAGACGTGGGGGAGGGGGTGGGAGAAAAGAAGCAGAGGAGGAAGGCACGGGTAGGGAGAAAGGCTAATCCTTGTGGGGTGGGGGGAACAGAGAATCTTGAAGGATGAAGGAGCTGGTATTTTATTTTCCCACGATAATACAGAAATATGTATTTGATCATAGGCGACAGAAAAAGGGCAGCCACAATTCAAAGGAATAAAAAAGGAAACTAGGACTTCCAAAGTAAAACAACTGCAAGTGAATTCGATGCTTTTGTGAACTCGAATGTTCAAGATCTTTTACAAATTCTGTTACTTATCTTTTATTTTTCTTTCTTTCTTTTCTTTTTCTTTCTTTTTTTTAGAGAGGGAGAGAGAGAGTGAGTGGGAGGGAGCGGCAGAGGGAGAGGGAGAGAGAAAATCTTAAGCAGGCTCCATGCCCAGTGCGAACCCCGATGTGGGGCTCCATCTCACAACCCTGAGATCATGACCTGAGCTGAAACCAGGAGTCAGAAGCTTCACCCACTGAGTCACCCGGGCACCCCAATCTTTCATTTTCTAACTGTGGAATCTGAGGGAAAAAATTCCCTATCTACTTTTCAATAATAAATAGATAAATCACAACATGCATAGTGATAATTCCTGCCACACACTAAGCACGTGGTAGCTATTTTGACTGATTGTAGAGAAACTTGCTCTGGTTTTTCTCCCTGGCGTAATAACTGGAATGAACAGGGTCTCCTGCAACAGGCAGCACACCATACAAACAGCATACATAGCATACTGTTAAACCTGGGCTGACTGTTAGCAGTCAGAGTCTTCTGCATGTGAGGAAATGCGGGGCTGGGGAGGCTCTCTACCTTTCAAAGTCACAGGGCTGCTATCTGGCATGGTACAAAAGCTGACATGGACAAATGCAAAATTTAAAATTCATAAATTTACAAATGTTAGGTTTAACGATTTCTTCTACAAACAAAATTATTTTCTTCATTATTCTCCTGAGACATTAGATTTCAGCACCCCCGCGGGCAGTTATGTAGTTTTTCTCTCTGACATATGTGCTTAAGAAAACTTCGGTAATTTGAAGCAGTGAGTCTTAATTTTTCTTAATTTAAATTTTGTTAGTTAACATTTAGTGCAGTGTTGGTTTCTGGAGCAGAATTCAGTGATTCACCACTTCCTTACAACACCCAGTGCTCATCACAACATCCCCCATCTGGCCGCATCCCCCATCTGGCCCATCCCCCTCCCACCTCCCTCCATCAGCCCTCAGTTTGTTCTCTGTCCTTAAGATTCTTACTTTTTGGTCAATGTATTTGTTGTCTTCAATTGCAGACCGTTTGGAGTGATCACACGATGAGGAAGAGGTGGACGGAAGGCTTCGTAAGAGGCAGCAGGTGTCCTGTTGCTGGCGATCGATGAACTGCTTCATGAAACTTTCCCTTTGCAAATGAAGTACACACACACACGTCAAGCATTGTTAATGAAATGAAGCAAGTGATGGCATTTTACAATGATGCGTTTGACTGAACTCAGATAAAGGGGACAGATGTTCACAGAAAATAAGACACATCGTGCTAAGAGTGGTGTTTAGATTTAATTGGCAAAATAATTAATTTAGAGAAAGCTTTCTGAATTTTCAGTAGTTTTCTTAAAAAAAAAAAAGTAATGTCCCTGAAATAACTTTTAAACAATAATATTCAGTCATTGATGGTATTTCGTTGAATCCCATTGTGGTAATACTTTTTTATCCCCTCTAAGATTTGGAAGAATTAGTTCATCTCTCTGACTTCTACTCTTCATAAGAATCTTCGAGAGATAATTTTACATTGAAAGACTCAAAATAACTCAGAAGAAACTTGCTTCATCTGATCTTCAAAGCCTGGTGAGAATTCAAATAACATCTTTTCAAATAACCACTAATCTTGAATCTAATTTGTGGCTCTTTTATACTTCCTATTTTCAAGTTAAAATTTTTTTTAAAATCAGAAATGCAAATATATTTCCATTTGAATTTTAAATATTATGGCACCATAACCAGTCTCAGATTTTTACAACCCCCCCCCCACAGAATTGTCTTTAGAACTAGTTACATAAAAATGTCATATTTTGGGACACCTGGGTGGCTGAGTTGGTTAAGCAGCTGACTCTTGATTTCGGCTCAGGTCATGATCTCAGGATGGTGGATTTGAGCCCTGCATTGGGCTCCACACTCAGCACAGAGTCTGCTTGAGATTCTCTCTCTTCTTTTCCCTCTACCCCTCCCCCCACGTGCATGCACACTCTCTCTCAGATGAATAAATAAATAAAATCTTGGAAAAAATGTCATATTTCCATTATGCTAAGTGAAGTAAGCCATTCACAAAAAGACAAGTGGTATATGATTCCACTTACGTGAGGTACCTAGAATAGTCAAATTCATAGAGACAAAAAGTAGAACCAGGGGTTAACAGTATAGGGAACGGAGCATTATTCTTTAATGTGTATAGATTTTTGGTCTTGCAATAGAAAGAAAAGGGTCAGGATGTTGGTTGCATAAGAACATGAATGTACTCAACTGTACCCTTAAAAATGGTTAAGATGGTAAATTTAATGCTATGTGGATTTTAGCACGAACTAAAATTAAGTGGACATGCAATACTGAAAAAAATTAAAAAATAAAAAAGTCATATTTCAACTATTTTGGTTCTATTTGTAATTTTTGAGTTCCAAGTTAAATAATATCCTTTAATTATCAAAAATAAGTGTTTTAAAGTATCTTTTATGCAAATGCTTCACTGAAGGGCAAAGTGGTAGAAAATCAAATTAGTGTAAGTGGGAAATGCCATGTTTTTTTCCTTTAAAAATGGAAGACAAGGAGCCATTAGAGCCTGAGGTGAGAGTGTTGGGCAAGCCATGTCACCAGGGTTTTCCTTCTAAGGTTGTATCCATGCTGAATTAAGAACACGTTAAGGATGAGGAGGAACAAGGTGCCATTCTCTCCCGTAATAGTTATGTTGTTTATGATGCATAAAGAAGCAATGACAACAGACTTCACATGCTTTTAAGCAGTCTTTATAATGCAATACTTGTTCTTTGTCTAAGATGCATTAAAGAATTTTTTAAAGATTTTTATTTATTTATTTATTTATTTGAGATAGAGTGAGAGAGAGAGAGAGAGAGCACAAGCAGGGGGAGTGGCAGAGGGAGAAGCAGGCTCTCCACTGAGCAGGGAGCCCAATGCGGGGCTCGATCCCAAGACCCTGGGATCATGACCTGAGCCGAAGGCAGACGGCTAACCGGCTGAGCCATTCAGGCGCCCCTGCGTTAAAGAATTTTTCAACTTGAAAAAAAAAAAAAAAGTGGAAGGCAAATTGTACCGTTATCAGACATGACATTCTAAATGAATGCTGTTACAGTAGTACAGAACCTGGCTGGTGGCATTTCTCTATTTACTTGAGAATAAAAGGCCATAAGAGGTAAGTTTATCCTTACATGGTTGAAGGTCAGAGGTTGGGGTCTACCTGCAACCTTGAGCACCTGTGCCAGTTACCTGGGGAGTGGAATCCCGGAGGGGCATCTCAGGGAGAAGCAGGAGGGACAGCCTTCTTGTCTTGGCAAATGACCATTCTGAATATATTGCTTAAAGGGGTCAATAGAAATAACTTAAAAATAGAAAAAAAAATACCCTCTTTCAAACATGAATTTGAAAAAAGGGCTGAATCAGATTTAAGATAAATCCTTGACAGCGTATGGGGCATATACAACAAAATAAATACATTAATACCTGATTTTAGGAACTGTAAAGTCTGAAGGAAGCTTTGAGATTTTCACCATTTGCGGTCTGTTTGGAAATTTTTCGAAGATTCGAAGTCGCAAAGGGAGCTTTTCTTTGGTGTCCGCATTCGCTTCACTTTGCTTTAACTAAAGAAAAAATAGAAAGAAGGAAAGGGGGGAACTTAACGTATTCTCAAGTCACAGACTGCCAGCTTTTTTGCATCAGGGGAACAATGAGTTGGTGCATGGTGGACGGTAGATGGCAGCAAAGCCCCATTCAGTGCCCTTTCTCACCCACCACCTACCGGCACGGTGTGCAGTCCAACTTTAACCGCCTGGAAAACAAAACCCAAACTGAACCAAGCAAAAAACGAAACCAGAAAAAATAATGAGAAGAAAAAAATTAGGTTCTTTTATTCCTAAATATAAACCCCCTTTCACACCAAACGTTATTTTTATTGTTTACTTATCTCTAGCATATACAATAATATAACAATAAAATATGTCTTATACACATGTCTGCTGGAATAGGAAACCAAAAGAATATATGAATAATATATTAAGTGAAAATAAATGAAACTCCTAAGTTTCCTAAATGGTAATATTTAGGAAAACTAGCGAAAATGTCAAGAAAACAGGTCATTTATTCTAGCATATTCAAAAAGAAAAGCTCAAAATGGAAACAACACATTTGGTACCTACAGGGAGGCTTCTTTATTTCGTTGTAAAGATGCTTGGGAATTATTACATTATACGCCATAAAGTATCTTTGCAAGAAATGACAAGCAAACAGTATTCATCATCTATCTATCATCTATCCATCTACAAGATGGCTTTTATATTTTTCATATATATTTTGTATTTCTACAAATTAGAGTTCAGGGAGCGTGAGACTTGACATCACTAACTGGAGCCAGTGCTGAGCTAAGGAGTCGCCACAAGGATGGATTTGGCCTGCGGAACCCTGGCCTGAAAAATGAAAGAGGGTGCTTCTACCCCCTTTTCACTGCACCTTCTTCCTCCTCCAAGGCTGACTTCTCTTGCTGACCTCCCTTACTTCTGTTTACTACTCCCTTCTCTCAGAGCTCTCTATAGACAAGGCTAACCTCTCCATCCCCACCCATCTCCTGTTCTGCCCTCCAGCCTGCCTCTCGGAGCACTGATCCTGTTCAAAGGGTCCAATCACATTCAGGCAACCTTTCTGGTGGCGTCCGGGAAGCATGTTTCAAACACCATCAGCTTCTCATCCCTTGCTGGGTACACTTTTACTTTATAATTACAGCCTGTCTCCGGTTTGTGGAAAGAGGAGCAGGGGAGGCTGAGAACGTTTTTATAACTTTTATAACGGGAAGAAAGGTGGCAATTCTTCTCTCCTCACCAAGTGGAGGTATCCAAACTGGCCAGAGAGAACATGAGCGCTGCGTTTGGGGGAACATCCAATTTCAATACAATATATAGCTCAGTTGTCTAATTGGTTGTGAGCTCATACTGAGATTATAGTCTCAGTTCCAGTTCAGAAAACGTGCCTCATTTCTCATCAACTTCAGAAACTGTTCTTACATTTTTGTTTTATATAATAGAGATATTTTGCCACAGCCAATGTATGTCTTATTTACTTTGGGGGCTTGTCTATGGATTTCTGACTTAGGTGGTGACCTCACTTAGAGAAGGCGAGACTTGTTCCTTGCCTTCCCCTCTCCCCAAATGGAACACAACACAGTATGCTCCCAATCATTTGATGGCTATGATGGTGAGAGTGATGAAGAATTAGTTCCCAAAGGTGCAAAACATACAGGGCTAGCATTCCCATGAGATAGAGGCAATTAAAAAAGTGGCTTCAGGGGAGCCTGGGTGGCTGTCGGTTAAGCGTCTGACTCTTGGTTTCGGCTCAGGTCATGGTCTCAGGGTCGTGAGTTCAAGCCCCGCATCGGACTCTGCGCTCAGCAGGGAGTCTGCTTGGGATTCTCTCTTTCCCTCTCCCTCTGCTCCTCCCCAGCGTGCATGCTCTCCCCTTCTCTCTCAAATAAATAAATAAATCTTAAAACAAAAGAAAAAATGGCTTCATATATAAAAAAGAGAAATTCATGATGAAGAGACTCATTTTCCAAAAATTTATTGGCATAACTGGTAGAAAGATATTTGTCAGTGGTAAGGCGAGCACACAGGAAAAAGAAAAAGCAGTTAATATGTTAAGTCAGACCAGAGAGAAAGGCAATTATATAAGGCCAAAGACAGGCCGAGAAGACAGAGCAGAAATGAGGTATTTAATTCATGCCTTTGCTGACTCATTTATTTATATATCGGTGCAGTCACTTATAAATCAAATCCCAGAGGCCAGGTTCCCTATGAAGTTCTGGGGATATAAAAATAACTAAGACACAGTATTTGCTCTCATGGAGCCCACATTGTAAGGAATAGATGGGTCTATAAACAGGTAATGACAAATATAATAGCTATTTCAGCTGAGGTACAAAGTGCTGGGAGCTCAAGGTGAGGGGCAAACGGAGAGAGAGAGAGAAAAAAATGATGGTGCTACTTTTATTTCCAGAGGCTTCTCCCAGTATTCTGGAGGCTGGAAGCCCTAAATCAAGTTGTCAGCAGTGCTGAGCTCCTCTAAGTCTCTAAGAAAGAGTCTTTCCTTGACTCAGCTTCTTGGCCATCCTGGTGTTCCTTGAGCCATTAGCTGCATCACTCCATTACCTGCCTCTGAAATCACAAGGCCTTCTTCCCTGTGTGTTTCTGGGTCTATCTGAGTCTCCTTTTCTTTTCTCGGACAAAGATACCAGTCATTTAAATTCGGGCCCGCCCTAAAGCAATATGATCTTAACTGATCATGTCTGCAAAAATCTAATCTCCAAATAAGGTCCCATTCTGAGGTTCCAGGTGGACATGAATTTTGGGGGCACACTACTAAATCCACTACATATAGTAGTTGAAATTCCAGCTTGTGGTGACTTGGACACTGTTTCTCTTTATGGTGACTTGGACACTGTTTCTCTTTATGGTGACTTGGACACTGTTTCTCTTTACCCGGAGACTGTCAGTGCTAGGATGACAAACATCTTAGGACAAGGACCCTTGCAGGGGTGGGTGTGTTTCATTATTCATATTCAGGGCCGGCTACAATATTTGACACAAAGTAAGTTAAACAAACATATGTTGAATGAATAATACACAATCATTGGCAGAACTGAACTCTCTAGCAGATAACTTGCAAATGAAAGAAAGGATTTTAGGTTTATCTGGAAGGGTAGAGAGATAAGCAGAAAGTATCCATTTGCTGATCAAATACATTTGTTGGTGTGGAGTATAAGTGTCCCTGGATTCACAGGAGAGAATAAAATTAGACTCTGTGGCATTTAACCTGAGCTTACATCTACCATTGGTGAACTGATAAATGTTTAGAATAAGTTTAGACATAAAATTTTGTAGTATTTACTCAAATATCCTAGAATATGATGTTTAACATAAGTAGGTCACCAGTATTAAAATACAGTCCCCTTGCCTATATGTTTTTAACACGGAACTCATCTCATTCTACTTGGTGTTAGAGTTATTTATACCTTCCCAAACTTGTAAACTACTCAGGGAGAGGATTCTCTTTTTAATTTACTTCTTTTTTCAAAAAAAAAAAAAAAGATTTTATTTATTTATTTGACAGAACGAGAGCACGCACAAGCAGGGGGAGTGGGAGAGGGAGAAGCAGGCTCCCTGTGGGGCTCGATCCCATGACCGAGATCATGACTTGATCTGAAGGCAGACGCTTAACCAACTAAGCCATCCAGGTGCCCCTGTTTTTAATTTATGTCTATGGTACTTTCTAGAGAGTAGAAATATAATAACCATTTGTGAATAAATGAATTAGAATTCATCATGAATTAATCATGGAACTGTAAGACCCCAAACAGCAAAGGAGAAGCTCTTTTTGATGACACAGAAGGTTCTTCAGGATCCTGCAAATCCTCTCAAATGTCAGGCGTCATGGCTCCACAGATGTGGAGGATGGGTGGATGCATGGATGGCAGATATATCGGGTCTCACTGCAGAGGCACTGGCTAGAATCTTCTACAAACAGGAAGGGGCCTCTTTGGGAACAGTAGTGGCCAAGTGCTTTCTGCTGTTCACAGTTAAGCAGCATCATCTAGAGATGAACACACACACAGCCAGTAGTCCAACAAATCCTCTCCTAGGTGCACAGCTCCCAGAAACATGCCCACACGCACACCACAGCCTCGCCAGCCCACGGCCGTGCCAAACCATACACATCTCAAATGCCCATTGTGGCATATTCATGAATCTGAGTCAATAAACTACACCCAAGCACAAAGACTTGGGTGAATTTTACAAACTAATGTTGAATGAACGAGTCCTGGCAAAGCAAACAAGGACATCCTGAATGATGCCATTTATAGAAAGTTAAAAAGCAGGCGACACTACTCTATCCTGCTTAGAGTCTGGAGAGCGGTTATCCTGGGGTGGGGTGAAGCGTCGTGGCTACGAGGCCATGTGGCGCGGGGCTCCTAAGAGACAGTTGACCTTGATCTGGGTGCTGGGTGTGTTCAGTTGGTAAAAGTTCAGCAAAATGCCTTTATCTATATGGATAACAGAACCCAGTAAAAAGTTAAAAAGAAAAAAGAAGGGCTGATGGAGTGGAGCAAAATCATCTAAATCTCAGTCCACTGCTATGAATCACCATAACTTGGACCATTTCTCCTTCCCTAGTCCATGATCTTGGCCAAGATACAAAATGAGAAAAGAAAGGCCAAAGAGCAAGATGGGACTGGCGTGTGTGTGGAGGGTGCGGGGTGGGATGAAGATGAGGCAGCCAGCGTAGAGAAAAGTACTGCCTAGTCCTTGGGAGCCACTGTCAAGTTTCTTAATACATGATAAACCCTTTTATCCAAATCCTTCCCCCTTCTTGCATTTAAGCACAGATTTCTCCGAGATTAAATGTACTTTGATGCTAATGAGTGAGTAGTATGGATTACGTTGAATATACAGGATAATAATTTAAGATCAGTATACCATACCACAAAAGACCTTCTAACGGATAGTAACTGTAATTGTAAATGTTCACTTAAAAATCATTTCAAAGATCATAACCCTTGAATGGAAGGAATGTAGTATAGTGAACCCAAGATTTTAGT